CAGGTCTAGTGTAATTCATTAAAAACATGACATTACCTATAATCTTTGCATATTCAAATTGAGATACACTATCGTCATAATTCTTTTTAAGACTCATGTTAGAATCATAAGGTGTTCTTACAGGTAATTTATCAAAGTAATCAAATTTTTTCAACATTCTCTCAATGTAGTGTGATTGACATAAGGAATACCCATTATCATTTTCCCTTATTTTTACACCAAGTATTACATCAGTCACTTCTAAATCTTTCATTTCAAAATGTAAAGAAAGAAGCAACTTGGTCTCATTAATGATATCTAAGTTTGAACAAAAAATGAGCATGTCATCAACATACAAGCATATTATCACACAATCAGCTCCAAACAATTTTGAGTAAACACATGTATCAGAGCAATTTACTTTATAACCATTGTTTACCAAAGTACCATTAAATTTTTCATACCATTGTTTAGGAGCTTGTTTTAGGCCATAGAGAGATTTTTTAAGCTTGCAAACTTTATTTTTTTGACTAATAGCTAGAAAACCTTCAGGTTGTGTCATGTAGATCTCCTCTTCTAAATTACCATTAAGGAAAGTTGTTTTTACATCCATTTGATGTATTATCAACCCTCGAATAGTAGCCAATGCTATCAAAGATCTAATTGTAGCAATCTTGGTTACAGGAGAGTACATATCAAGTAATCAATGTCATACTTTTGTGTGTAACCTACAACCATTAGTCTAGCTTTGTATTTTTCTATCGTGCCATTTAGTCTCATCTTTCTTTTAAAGATCCACTTACACCTAATAGGTTGGTTTCCTGCTAGTAAATCTACCAATTCCCAAGTTTGATTCATAACTATGGAGTCTAGTTTGCTATTAATAGCTTCTTTCCATAGACTAGAATCTAAGGCATTTATAGCTTCTTGGTAGGTTTTAGGATCTTCGTCTATCAAATACATGCATGCGAATCGATCATCTATCTTGTCAAAGTTTTCTACTAGATAGGAAGTTAGGAAGTCAGGTACAAAGTTTTTACTAACTTTTTGCCTTTTACTTCTCCTAGGTTCATTATCTATTGCAATATTGGATATAGGTTCAAGGTCTATCATATCAATAGAAATGGAGGGCAATGATGCATGCAGTTTTTGAAATACCACTAGATTCACCATCAGTTCTAATCATAGGGAATATATTTTCAAAAAATACTGCATCTCTATATTTAGATATTGATTTATCATTCAAGCTCATAAACCTATATGCAACACTATTTTCTGCATAACCAATGAAAATACAATCAAAAGTTTTAGATCCAACCATTGGTTTTCTGAATGCTGGATATGCCACCTTTGCCAAGCACCCCCACACCTTCAAGTAGTTCAAGTTTGGCGATACCCCTTCAAGAGCTCGTATGGTGCCTTATCCAACTTTTTGTGAGGGACCCTGTTAAGAATAAAACAGGCAGAAAGTGCAGCTTCCCACCACATATGATCAGATAGACCAAAACTTAATAGCATGTCATTTATCATCTCTTTTAAAGTTCTATTTTTCCGTTCAGCTATTCCATTCTGTTGAGGTGAATATGGAGCAATAAATTCATGTATAATCCCACTTGATTCACAAAAAATTCTAAGCGAAGTATTACTATATTCACCACCCCTATCTGATCTTATCATTTTTATCTTTCTGTCTAATTGGTTTTCTACCTCGGCTTTGAATTTTAAAAACATACTACTAGCTTCATCTTTAGATTTTAGGAGATATATTTTCGTATATCTAGAAAAATCATCAACAAAAGAAATATAGTAATTTTTTCCATCTCTGCTAGTTGTGTTTTTGAAATCAGCTAAATCAGAATGAATTAATTCTAGGAGTTCGGTACACCTTGCAGTGACAGGTTTAAATGGTTTTTTAGCAAACTTTGCTTCTACATAGATAGGACAATTTGCAATTTCAAGCAAGTCAGAAGCATTAATCAAATTCAAAGTTCTAAGCCTTTTAATCGATGCAATATTCACATGCCCTAATCTACCATGCCATACATCAAAAGACTCAACGATGTAAGCAGAACTAGAAATAATTTCATTTGAAGTAGTGTTGAGAACAAACAAACCATCTGCAAGATAGCCCTTACCAACACAATCACCATTTTTTGTGATGATAACCTTGTCGGCCTCAAACACAATCCTAAGTCCGGCTCGGTTCAACAGACCTCTTGACACCAGATTCCTACGCAGGGAAGGAACATACAATACGTTACTTAATGATAAAGTTTTGTCAGATGTGAGTTTCAAGAGAACCTTCCCTTTCCTAAGTACTCCAACTGTGGCCAAGTTCCCCATAAAAACATATTCGCCATCAGCGGAGTCCTGAAAGTTATGAAAGAGGTCACGATTCGAGCAGAAATATCTGGATGCTCCTGTGTCAAGAATCCAGTCGGATTTGTTCTCCACCAAGTTTGCCTCCACAACTACAGCGGCAATGATATCATCCGTCTCGGCAAGGTTGGCTTGTGGAGCAGTCCTTTAATATTTCATATCTTTCCTCTGGGTGCACTGATAGGATTTGTGCTTGGGTTTTCCACAGACATAGCATACCAGTTTCGATTTCTCGATTCTACCACCAGTATTTTTAGGTTGGAGACATTTGTTCTTTTGAGCTCTATCCCTTGCAATTTGCTTCCCTTTACTTTTGAACCTGTCTTTGGAAGCACTAGAAGATTCAACTAAATTAGCTTTAACTAAGTTTAGGAATTGAGAAAATAGCTTATCCTTTAGCCAGTTGGCTTCCTCTGTGCGCACGTGACTGATCAGCTCTTGCAGAGTCAGGTCCTTCTTCTTATGTTTCAAGTGGTGGCGATAATCACTCCAGGAAGGAGAAAATTTCTCGAGCAACACATTGACTTGAAGAATCTCGCACATCTTCATACCTTTAGACAACACACTTGCCACTAGGTTCTCATACTCATGAACCTGATCCATCACCGGTTTATCGTCCAACATTTGAAATTGTAGCCATTTACCGACGACGTACTTTCTCCTGTCTGCATCGTTCCCACCATATCTAGACTCTAACGTGTCCCAAATGACCTTTGCAGATTTTTGGACTACAAAGAGATCAAAAAGAGAGTTGCTCATATGGTTGAGAAGATGCCGACAGACCGTTTTGTTGTCTTTCTCGAATTTTCCAGTTTCAACGATAGTGGCAGTAGATGTCCCGGACTCAGCAGCGACGACTGCAACAGCGGCAGCAGCAACGACAGGCAGATCAGTGACAACTGCAGTGGAGGTAGCAGTAGCAGCGGCAGTGGTAGCGGCTGCAGCAGTGGCAGCAGCTGCAGCGGTGGCAGTAGCGGCGGGCTGAGCAGTAGTGAGGATGTAGTCGATCTCCAACTGCTAAAAAAAATCAGTAACTTCTATGACCACCGGCGGTAGTTGGATCCGTCGAGTGGTTCCAATTTTGACAAGTCCGACAGGACCTTCCCAGATCGAATAGCAGCCATGGGTAGATGAGATATTTTGCTTTCAAATTGTTGGGAAATAAAGGACAAAATTGAACTGGGAGCTAAAAGCGTTGTGCCGTGGGCGGAACCACTGCCTTGAAAGCAAAATCGGCACGACCTCGGTGCTAAATCGTTTTGCTGCCGGTATGCTTCCCAAGGTTAACACAACCTCCAACTCAGACGTGCGCTCGTCAGAATGGGAGTGGAATCAATCTCGTGATCAGTTTAAGGTAGTGGAAAGATGAAAAAGAGTGTAACGGAGGAATTGCAAATGAGAGATGGAATCAATTGGGATGATTTAATTGGAAGTAAATGGTCCATATTTATACTAACCAAGTGACCCAAAATAGATTTTCAATTTACAAAACAAAAATTCCACAAAAATATTGGGCCATCCATGTGTCATTTGGCCACTTTGACTTCCACAACACAAGCTATGCCATCCACATTTTAATTGTTCAAAACAATGTGTCATTCTCAACACGTATGACTTTAACTTGTGCTAGATCTACGTACATTTGAGTATAGAGTGCAGGTACTTAAGAATAAGACCCACCGGTTAGGAATAAAACCCATCTAGCATGGTTAAAAACTAAGCTAAATTGTTGTTGTTCTGAGTAAAATTCGAATAGCGTTGAATCTGGATTCAATCTGGAAAAATGTCGTGTTAGTTTGGCCATGTTCACTAGCATCAAAGTAAAATATACAACCCCTCTTCCTTTTCTTCCTTGTCGTTTCAAATGATCACTAAGCAATATTTATCGTTAGTTAGGTATTACTAAGTTGACCATAGGGGGAGACAGCAAGGCGAATGGGTGACTACTATGGAAAAAAAAGGATGGAAAAAAGGTGGTTTAGGGCTTGGGGAAGTGTGAGAGGAAAGAAAATGCTACATAAGTACTAAAAAATAGTATAAAATTAATATACTTTGACACCTAATTTCAAAACTCCACATCATCACAGTCCGATTATCAAATTAAATACCACCTCATTTTTATGTTAAGGCTCTAAGCAAGACTATTTAAAACTATTTTTAAACGCCGAGAATTAGCCTCTCAGTTTTTTTAAATTTAAGGATCAAATAGAAATTTATCTTCAAACCTAGGGATCATTTCAAAGACGGTTAAATAATGAACCATTCATTTACAATTAAATTACATGTTTAACCTATTAACTTTATGTAAACTTTCAATTTTAAAGGGATCTAATAAACCCTTAAATTTTTAATTTTTTATCGGACTAATTTGACATTTTTAAAATTCAAAGATCTATTAGTTATAATTTGAAAGCTTAAAATTTGATTTTGTGTCAATCATTAACTTAACAAACTATCAAAATATGTCATTAACTTATTACACATAAAATTGAAATTTGAAATTTCAATAATCTTTTAGACATCTATAAAGTACATGAATCTAATAGTTTAGAAACCTATTACATAATTTTTAAAATTCAAATACCTATCATGCACAAACTTAAAAGTTCATTAACTAAACTGGTATTTTAACCACAATTTTTAAAAGTAAAGTCTACTATTTTCACAATTTGGAAAAACATTTTCTATGAACCATAAAAATGGTCGACCAATAGAAATTCTGTTGAATATATATACATTTTGTAGCTTTGTATATTTACACTACTCAACCCAATTAATATCCAAATATTTTAGTCCTGAAAGCCATTTTTCAGTATCCTGAGAAATATAGGGCCTAGATGCAGTCTTATTTTCAGCATCATGACCATTAAAAGCTAAAGAATCATTCTTTCTATCTTTGGCAAAGCTTGGCTGTCTATTAGGGTGTCTCACTTTTAGTGACAAAAGACGAGAGACTTCGTGTAGGCCGCCCCATTTCTCGAGTGCCCGAGCGATGTCGTACCGCCCTGCAAAAACGCTTCTGTCAATCCACAAGTTTCTTAAAATATATGTCTGTGTATAGCTGAAGCTGAGTAATGGCAGTCATTTTAAACATTGAGCTTATATATAATTAACATTATTTGAAACCATAGTTAGGAGAGCATAGATTTTCTTGTTTTTTTTGGTTCTTTATTTTTTATTGAAAAAGGAAATAGAAACATATCTACTAGCCATTTCTTGTTTTTTTCTCTAAACTTAAAATTTTAAAAATGCAAAACTTTGGTATGAAAAACAACTTTTTAAGTAAATATTAACAAATTTTATATTACATTTATTTTTTTGATATTTACTATGCATTTTATAAGTCGAATAAAAAAAAGATAAAATAATACTTTTATCTACGTTTTTGAAAAAACTAAAAATATTGATAAGAAACAACAAACTTGATTTTGTTGGAAATGAAAAACAAAGTTATGAAACGCTTATGTTTCTCAGAAATTGAAAATGTGAAACAAGAAAGAAAAAGAGAACGTTACCAAACGAATCCTCAAATGATGGAGCTCAATCAAAAAAGTCAAAAGAAAAAAAGCCATCCCAGAGATTGAAAATAAAGGTTTTATACCTGCACGTTCAAAGGACTTCCTACTGGGCATGTATGATGGATCCATTCCCCAGCTCGTCTGGAACCGATTTATCTGTTTAGTTGGCAATAGAATTCTGTGAAGCACAAGTATTTTTCTAACAAAAGAAGCATGAAGTATACATTTTCATTCATTCGAAGGGCGAATGAGTAGTCAGAATAAGGACGAGTTTGGTATGACTTTTGGAACAGTGAAAATCATTCTTAAGCTAACTAAAAGCACTTTTCAAAAATTTCTTAGGGTGTGTTTGGGAGTAGCTGATTTTGAAAAAAGAGATTTAAGCATAATTGATTTTCCAAAATCATCGTACAAGTGATGCCTCAAAAATCAATTTAAAGTGATTTTAAATTGATTTTAAACTTTTCTAAAATCAATTTTTTAATTTGCTTAAAATGATCATGGGAAGAGTGATTTTGATAATGGCAAGAGTGATTTTGGAAATCACTCCCGTGTGAGCATCTTTGAAGTGCTTTTAAGAGAGTATTTTCTTCCAAAAAAAAAAAAAAATGCCTACATAAAAAGGACTGCACTTAAAAATCCTACTCTTGAAAAGATCTCTAACTCGATCTAAGAAAGTGAAGTTACCGAACTGTATACAAGTTCCAGATTTTGATTTACGTGTAAATGTAAACCCGATATATAATGTGCATGCTAAACATGCAAATTCTAATGAATAGAAAGAATGAGAAATTAAACTTGGGTGAAATTTCAAGTTTAGTCCTCGAACTTTCCGAATAAATTTCTGAATTTTAAAAAATGTCTAATAGATCCCTTAACTTACAATTTCGTTTCTAATATATCACTGAATCTTAAAGTATCTAATAGATCTCTAAATTGGGTCTAATAAGTCCATGAAATTAAATTTCTGTCTAATATGTCTCTAGCCTATTAGACTTTAAAAAAAAAAAATTACAGGTTGATTAGACATAAAATTGAAAGATAAAGGTAGTATTAGACGCAAAATTCATTCTTGTATCTAATAGTTTCGTGAATTGTAAAAAACGTCGAAAAGGTCAAGAACCTATTAGACACAAAATTGAAAATTTAGAGACTTGACACATTTAAAGTTCATAGACCCATTAGACTCAAAATTTAAAGTTTTAGGACCTATTAGAGACTTACAAAGTTTAAGGACCTATTTTTTCAAAGTTTGAGAACTAAATTTGTAATTTAACATAAAAACTAAAAAGGTTTCCAACAAGTTACAATCCAAGTTGAAGCATACCTCTTCCTGCAAATTGTCAAATTTGTCCCAATAACCCTTGGGCTTGCGGTGCTTATAAGCCAGAGAAAGATTCATAATTGATGCAATCCTTCTGAATCCACCCATGCGTGTGATGGCCTTTTCAATATCTACCCTTCCATGCATGCGAAGTTGCTTTCTCATTGGCATAAATCCTTCCTGCCCATGTTCTGAAATAAACTTGAGCACCTCTGCTTTCAGAACTTCAATATCTCTTTGTAACCCTGCAACTTTGGGCTTCGGTCTGCATGAATTTTTCCCATTGTCATCTGAAACTCCCTCACCCTTCATCGTATAACCATTGATTTGATCATTATGATATGAGGCACTTTTCTCCTCTGAATGTCTACCTTCATCAAATGCTTCAAAAGAATTGTTCGAACCCCTTTTCTCGATGGAGTCTCGAATCGCACATAAGTTTGATGGAAGATCTTCATATACAACCTGAATACACATGATTATTTTTTACAGAACTGCAAGTGATAACTACTGCATGGAAATATATTTTCTTACACAGAAAGTGAACTAAAGTTTATATGTTTCCAGCTATTCTTGCCTTTTTTTTTTGGTTAAATATACTGCATTTGAGATGAGAGTATGGACGTAAAACTAGGGAATAACATGAAATTCTTTTCATGGTTGCTTGCATATCAAAGCCTCAATACCCATGAAAAGCTTCAAAGGAAATTTCCTATGTGGATTCCCCCTCGGTGTGTTGTATATGTTCTGAGGGAGAGACTTTAGACCATCTTTTTGAAAGAGATTGACTTATTGATTTGCTTACCTAGATGGGTGGATGACTGGCTCTTGGAAGCCCTGATTGGCTAGTGCTTTAGAGGAAAGGCTGAGATTACGTGGAATCTAGAGCTCTCTTTTGCATCTACCGAGCTCTAGTGCATCTACCGAAGGAGAAAAACCAAAGAACTTAAGAAGATAAGTCATTTTCATCTTGTCTGAATTCTTTGTAATAGTGTATACTGTGTATCAATAATTTTTCTTGGTGGTGCTCTACTCATTCATAGGAAATTCTTTCGTAATTAGAGCCTTCGTATGGTTATTTCAAATTGGGAGGCATTCCTTTTATAGGCTCCACGTTTCTCTCTACTTCATTCTTTTAGATATATATTTTTCTCCTCTGTTTCTTATATATATGTACAAAAAACTAGGGAATTACAGGAACTATGAAATAGAAACAAGATTAGATTAGCCACAGAGAAACACAAAAGATAAAGTAAAAAGTGGAACCTCTTCCATTAGAGCCTCAGAAAGAAAGGTATCCTTGTGCATTCTCGACTCCACGGAGTATTTCAACAGCGTATGATGACTTCCTAACTGCTCAAAATGCCACTTTCCGCTGAGCGAGTCAAAGTCTCCTTCAACCTGTTCAAAGCTAATCTCTTGTTCAAGCTGTTCACACAAGTCCAGAACTACACGGGCATGCAGAACCATATACAGCAAACCCTTGCATCCTTCCTACACATATCAACGCTTTCTGAAAATTAGCATGATTTTACCACTAACAGAGCAAGTAACTGCTAGGAACACATTCTACGCTAGTTATCAAGTAAAACACTTGACGAGAGGCCTGACTCTACTTATTCTTACTATATTCCCAGCCACGTTCCAAAAATCAACTGACCTGCTATCCTATCTGAATCCTAAACCAATGAACTGCTTAGCTATCTAAATTAGGAAAAATTATTCAGAGTGGCTACCCCCTCTAAATCCTCGGATGCATGATTTCAACCATAATTTTTAGTCATTTCTCTCCTACATCCAATGGTATAGAATGGCTAGCCACATTATTCCAGCCACTTTGAATAATTTCTTGTAAATTGAACTATTAGTAGCTAGTGGTTATGGAATCATAATTCGAACTTAAATAAGCCAATGGCTACGTCGTTCCTCCCTACATGCATAGCACAAGTAAAATTCAAAAGAAAAAGTGTGAAAAGAATGTGATTGCAAGTTCCGCATACTGACCAGTGACTCTAGACTTAAATATTATTCTTCTCATTCTTTGCAGATTTTCTAGCTTCCTGTTACTTGTTAGACATTCCTTTCCCCAATTATTTTTCTAAAAATCTTTTCCTTCAAATTTTCTAGCTAGAAATCTGTATGATGACATCTCGACAAGAATCAAACTAACTCAAAATGCTCACTAGACGAATAAAACATGAATTAATAAATTTCAAACCTCCAGTCACATATATTTTAAAGATGGATAAAAACTGCTAAAAGGAGGTTCATCTGAATTGCAATTAATATTCTGATTTTACCTGAAGAATGCGAACTTTGTTGCTTTCTCTTGATAGTATCTTGCTGATTGCTAGATTTGGAACTACTCTGCAATCAATTAATTTCGTCAGTAAGAAGATTTTCAAATCCAAAGGTTTAGTTCATTACTAATATCAGGATGGAGCATTCTGTAAGCACAATTCTTTCTTTTTATACATTCCTTTCCGTTTTACTTTTGTAGAATAGTTGTATTGAAACTTTTTTTTTAAGGAAAAGTTGTATTGAAGGTTGTAATTCGCATATGTTAGAATAATAGGAACACTAGCACAACACTCGTTCAACATGTTATCAAAGCATTGTCTTCTCTTTTTTTCCATCTTCAGCCCTTCAGACTGATTGTCAAAGTTTTTTTAAAATACATGTAAAAACTTTAGGGAAAAATACATTTTTGGCCCTAAAGTTTGAATTTGGTGTCTATTTGGTCTTTTTAAATTTCAAAAGGAACACTTTAGTACTTTAGGTTTGGAAAAATATTCTAAATGGTCCCTGAGTCAATTGGACTAGTAGTTGACCTAATGGAATTCTGACTTGACAATTAATATATTGATTGGACATTAGGATGTGGCAATTTTAAATTAAGTGGCAAACATATCTTAGTTGCATTTTTTTGTTTTGCTGATTGGACTGACATGGTCATCTCCTTCCTTCTCTCCTCCAGTAAACCTTGTTTCTGCCACCGCCGCCACTCACCGACGTCCGGCGCTCTCTACTGTTGTCTACTTTTATCCATGATTCACTGTTCAATTGTTCAAACTTCGCTCATTCCATGAACTAAGGAAGCTCTACAACACCACATCCCATTCCACTTGTTCGTTATCTTTATTCTTGTTCGTTCACCACTCCACACTCCTTTAGATTGTCGCCATGCCTATCCAAATCTTGAATGTCACATCTATTCTAAATATGAAGGTGGTCTTCGTTCCACATCTAGAACAGGGTTCCAGATCTGAGTGAAGCATGGAAAAAAATTTGACAAGGGAGGAGAAGGAGAGGTTTTCTGGAGAAGAATAGGGCAGCAATGGTAGCAGGTGAAATTGGTCGGAGGAGGGAGGAAGAGTGGGGAAGAAGATGCCACATCACAATCCAATCACCAGAGAAAAGCAATATAAAATTAATATATTTTACCAGGTAATTGTTAGCCCCCAATAGTAAGGAGTTACGCTAGGAGGGGTAGGAGAGGAATTTTACAGTGAGTTAGTTAGAAATGGTGGGCCCCAGTGAGCAAGGGAGTACGCACTCCCAGGGCAGAGTAGGAGGGAATTAAAGGGAGAATGTTCCCTTGTAGGGAGGGAGGTTTTGTTTTTCGTGTAAGAGAATAGCAGCTTAGCTATTTTGGAGAGTTTTCCAGCCCTCTCGAATTGGCTGGTCCTGTAAGTTCTTGTTTTTTGAATATCAAATATTATAAGGGATACCTTACAGATAAAAGTACATCGAACCCATATGAAGTTTTACCATGAGCATATTGAATCCATTGGGCAAATACCCAATCAACAATTTAATTACCACATCATCTTTTCATTAGTCAACTAATGGTCAAATTGACCATTTAGAACCATTTTCCAAATCTCAGGGACTAAAGTGTCTCTTTCGAAACTTTAAGGATTAAATAGACCCAAACTAAAACTTCATAGACCACAAGTGTATTAAAAAGAAATTATACGTAAAATGACTCCCAAAGGGCTATAGAGGGGAGAGTTGCCCCCCACCTCCCTAAAAAAAAAAAGACACTCTCACTTCTCTAATCATTAGGTCACACAATAGAAATGTCGTGCTTCCCACCCTTTGACTCAAATCGTCAACCACTCTCTTAGTTTTCCCTTGAGTTGCACTCACCACCAATCACCAGCTCCAATCATTTTTGACCATTGAATCATTGAATTGAGTATACAAAATAAATAATTTTGTTTCTACTTTTACTCTCCGACTGCAGTTGGCAGGATCTACAACAACCAACTTTCACCCCTACCACCACCAACCGGCAATCACAAATTAAATGGCAGGAAGGAACTGCCGCCAGTAGTCATCTTCAATGCACATGTTTATCTATGGTAGTAGGAAGGCCAAATACAATACTTATTTGTAAGCATCAAAACAACCCACCATCGAAGATACTAAGTATCAAGAATGAAAAACCAAAAACTCTATGGTAATGTCCTCACTTATTAGCTCAATACCATCTGGGATCAGTGATTATGCCAAACCGTCAAGGAGATCTTGGACTATTCGAACTTGCGAAGAAAACATATTCAAACATGGAAAACACATCAAAGTTGTTTGAAACAGAAGGAGTTCTTTATATTTACAGACAAGGTGACGTTCCTATATCTCAAATCTCAATACTTCTCTTCTTAGTCAATATTGGCAACAACTGGATGTGTTTGAATCTCAAAACTATGAGTATACAGAAGATGTAAATCAGAACACCTCAGTAAAAATCTCGATAAAGTCAAGGGAAGAGTTGTCCATTATGTCCAAGTCTAAGTGTTCGTGGAGGTTCATCATGATGAGAGTAGAAGAAAACTCATGTTGGGAACACCAATTACTTGATAAAATGCTGAGATTCAGCTTTCGTTGTCTGACAACCCAGTCAACAATCTGGTGAGAATCATAACAAATGGGAAAAAAATGTGGTCTGGCCATTGTTCAATACAAAAGAAATGTGTTGGCACATTCATGGAAAACTGTTAGGAATGTCATTGGAGTAGTTAGGAATATTATTGGGGTAGCAAGGTCATATTAGTAGTTAGCCAAAGAGTTTGTCAGTAGGAGTTGGTTATAAATAGAGGGAGTGGGAAGGAATAAGGTAGGCATTGGTTCAGTTGATATAGGCTCGAGGACACTAAGAGGGAGGTTTAACTACCTCAAATACTTGGGGAGCTAAGAAGCACCAACATGCCTAAATAGGCTGGGTGTCGGTGTCGGACATGCACGCGCCAACACATGTCCGACACGTGAAAAAGTGTCCGAAATTATTTTTTTTATTTTTTTATTTTAAGACACGAGTCGGACATGCAGCCGACACACGTCCGATACGCTATTAGCATTTTTCCTTTTTTTTTTTCCTGTTAAAGTGAGTTTTTTAAAGACTTGGACTTCAACACTGTCTTTTAATGAGTTTTTTTACTAAGACCCAAAGCCCATTAGGGTTTATGTTGGTTTATTTGTGGATATTAGTTGTAATTAGTTGTAAATATTAAATTCCTATTTACATTCCTTTTATGTATTATGCCTTTCTCCTATATAAGAAGGTTGTGTATTTCTTACTTAAGATATATTATTGGAATACAAGTATTTTATTCCACCTAAATCAAGTGTTCAAAATTATTATCATGTTGTAAACCTAATTTTAGTTCTTTGCACAGTAAAAAAAAATACTGTTCTTCACCTCCTTCCCCTCTCTACGCTCTTCACCTCCATTTCCTCCGTTATCTTCCTTGTTAGTTTTTACTGATGATGGGACTCAAATTGGTGAAGATGATGCTAACAATGTTGGGGAAAATGTTTAGAAGACTTTGTTTGATTTCGATTCGTAGTTTTTGTTTGTAAGACTTGTTTTATTGAATATTGGATGTTTTTTATGACATTGATTATTGTATGAATGTTATGGACCTATGGTATTTATGTTGATGTTTAAAGGTAAAAATAGTATTAAATATTGATAATATGTTAAAATATGCACACATATATATTTAAAAATAAATAAATTAACGTGTCCCTAGCGTGTCGTGTCCTACTTTTTTGAAAATTGGCATGTCGCCGTGTCCGTGTTGCGTCTCAGCGTCAGTGCCTCTTAGTTGGGGACTGTTATTGTATTTCTTTATCGTTTATCCTTAAATATTATATTTCAGCTTTTAGTTTCTTTGAAAAGCCTGCAGACCAGAAATATTCATGAACCCAACTCAATAAAAATTCCAAGGCAAATCATGTTTTGGCTACGGGAGGAAATTCCCCTCAAGAAAGTGTGTACAATCTCAAAAAATACTAGGACTCAAAATCCAGATCCGATAACTGATAGCCCTATCCTTGCAACTTAAACGTGCAACATAATGTCTTGATTAGTTTTTGGGATTGAAGACTACCCCTACAAACGAGCATGAATCTTTTTTAGCATGATTTGTTTTCATGCACATGTTTTTCTAAAAAAAAGAATTTAAGAGGCCACCCTACTTAGAGTTTGCTCCAAGCTAGGAAACGTATTTGTGGAAATAGCCAAAGTCCTGTCTACTAATGCTTTTTGGGGCAAAGTTGTTCTAATTGCAACTTACATAATCAACGCAATGCTGTTCCAAACAACAAAGTTCCTAACTCATCTACAAGCACTCCAAAAGTATTATCCAAGTTGTAGGCTCCTCAGTAACAACCTCCAAATCCTTTAAATGTTTTTTCAAGGATATGCTGAGGCTACAAATATTACTCTCCCATAACAAGGAAGTTATAAAGCTCACTATGACAAAACTAATGTTCAAGAGGAGAAGATTCCAGGAGTCGTTCCAAACTCTTGATCTGGATTTCAGCAATAACCAAACTCAAGAAAATATTACCAGCCTCATTCTTGCTAAAGTACCTATCTTCACTAGGATACATACTAGACAAAATCAAGATCCCATTGACATTCAAGGGAATAAAATCAACAAGAACCAAGAAAACAACAAACCCAAGTATAATCATTCCATGAAGAAAACTAAAGATCGAAATGGCATTATTATGTACCCCGAATGAAGAAAAATGATCCTCCAAATGAACAAACCCGAACTTTGCATGAGCATAACAATTGGTGTGTGAACATCAGGTAAGTACACGATAGGTCTTCTCAGGACCTTAAATACATAATTGCAACTTACCAGCCTTGATGACACTCAAAATCCTAATAACATCCACGAAACTCTCCATTACCCCAAATGGAATAAAGCAAGGTAGGAAGAGATAAAAGCTCTTGAAAAGAATGGCACATAGAAGTATACTAATCTTCCTGAAGAAAACAAAGTTGGTAGATGAAAATAGATATTCACTATTAGATGCTAAAGGTCTGACTAGTTGCCAAGAGATTTATGAAACCATATGGGATTGGCCACCTGCGAAAGCTTGCTGTTGTAGCAAAACTAAATAAAATTTGTGTCCTCTCATCTCTTCTAACTTTAGATGAGGATTGGATATTACGTAATCTTAATGTGAAAAATGAATTATTTTAATAGGGATAAAAAATAAATAAAAATTCATTAATTAATTTTTTTTTTTAAAAAAAGTGTGTCTGCATAGATGTACACAATAGACTTAGAGACAAGTGAAGGTAACGGGTAAAATCAATAGGCTTCACAAATCTCCTTATGGCACATACGATCTCCCAAAACTTGGTTCAAACATTCCACATTGAATGAGAGTCTTTCCCCAAACTCTAGCCCTTCTGTCCAATTAATGCTTCAAAGTTATAACTATAATAAATTTTTACATTTTCATTTGAGAAGTTGCTAAAAATTAACGCAATAAAGTTTGAACAAAAACATGAGAAAAAACTCTTGCAAAGAATAAAATTAATGCAATGACGTTTACAAAACAACTCTCTCCAATTTTATGCAATGAAAATAAAATTTTATTTTATAGAAGAGAAAATTAAAATAGAAATTAAAGAAAAGAGGAACAGATTACTTACTCGGGAAGACTTTCATAAGCAGTCAGAACATTCCATACTTCACGAACAGGAGCTTTAACTGTTATGCTAGCGACCACACAACGATGAACACCTCCATTTTCCTTCAGTGAAATTTTATCTCATAAGCAATTTTGACAATTAAAGAGCCTGACGTATGAAATTGGATCATCTCCATTGAAAATGCGTCTACCTATTTCTTTATACTACTATAATGCTTCTGATGATGGGTCTAAAAGGATGTCATCAATAGACACCATAAAACGTTAGAGTAGAACCATTATAAAGAAGTAGAGGATTCAGGAGAAAATATTTCTGCTGAGAGGATCGCAAATTATCCCTATTAGTCAGACATGCTAGGGTTTATCACATACCAACAAACCATCAAATCTGCGAAGATGAACTTCATCAACCATGCAACGTTTATCAAGTCTGCAAACTTTTCCAAAAACTCCCCAGTTGCTATTCAATTCATTGGATAACGGGGGCAATGGTCCTAAATTGGAATTAGAATTACTCCTCCTGGAAGTTTCCTGTAATTCATCATTTTCACATGAAGCACCATTAACTGTATTAGTGAGAACCATGGACTTTGAATCTTCAGTGGTTCCTACTCTTCGACCCCCTTCAGAATTCTCTTCAGCTCTACAAGCCAAGGCCCGAAGATTCACAGGAAGGTCTGATCTGATTATTCGTTCTAGAAGAATGGCAGGAAAATTGAATCTTGGTATCACATTAACTTCATATGACAATGTTGTTGGGGATGACCTACAGAAAATAGTAGCAATAACCATGCATATTAATACGGAAAAAGGAAAATAACCAAACATGAAAACTTGAGAAGAATTCAACAACAAGAAAATGATCTTATAGAGTGCAAGTAAAGCAAATTGTGATCATATTGGGTGAAACTAGTATTATGGTAGGAAAATATCAAATAACAATTTGGCAGAAAAATAACAATGAAGTTATAACATTGTATGAACCAAGTATAAACCATGGAACTTTCATGTCATATATTATATATCATCTATGGTCAATAAATAAGCCTATTAAATTACCATTTTAGCCTCTATGGTTTGAGTTTGGTAATAGGGAAAAAGTTCTGGGAGATTTAACCAAACCATAAGGACTAAAGTGAAACTTTTAATTGAAATTAAGCTCCTAACTATAAGACAAAAATAATAATTTAACCTTATAAGCCAGTGTCCATGAATGACATAAAAAAACTGTCCTGTTATATTCTAAAACTTTTAAAATTATGGTCAAAGAACAAATAAACAAAATTTTACCTTGTACCAGCTTTTATGGACCATTTGCCTTCAAACTTCTTAAAGTCCCCATCAACCATTGAAAAGTGTAGTTCACGACTACCATCCTAAGGACAACAATTGACTTTTGTTAAGAGGTAATATGGTCTCAATAGCAATAGTGGTACAAGCAAATAGATTTTTTTCGAGATATCTATGTTGCCAATTACATGGCTACATGCTAGATTGACATGGTTCAGAAAGAAACCAGTCAGGATAAAACAGATTTTATAAACAGATAAATAAGGCTTTTCTTACAGAATTTAGAAGCTCTTGAAGATCCAAGACAACTCGAGCTTCAATATGCCAATACAATGCCCGTTGCAAACCTCTTTGTTCCAACCATATCCGACCGGGGTGTGGACAAGGAATTCTCCCACTGGACATAACATAATGACCAGTCCACTTATACAGTAAAGATAAAGAAAACATCAATCCCTAAGAATGTACAATAGCTAGAGCAACATCTTCAGGGAATATGTGAGTAATTGAAAGTCATATCATGTATTTGGAAGCAATATTCCATATATCAGTTGCACTTTCTGTAGTAAAGTATATATAATTTAAGTATATTACAGTAACACATTGTTTCTTTTTCGTTTCATTACTAATGGTCATCATAACACAAACATTTGATTCATCCCGTTATTGTTCTGGAATGTACAAATATAAATCATAGACGATTTAGTATAACAAGTTTTATTTTCTTGGTATTCGACTAATTTTGTAATATTGAAACTGTACGGACTCAACCTGCCCATCTACTCGATACAACCATCCATGCGACAAAGACAACCCACCTTAATAGTTCACATGACCCACATATTCCAACCAAGGTGACATGTTGCAGAAGCAATAGAACAAACCAAGGTATGTCTCTGAAGCGCAGCCAGAACCATCTCTAACGAACGCCACACATGCACACAAATAAAACTTTGTAACTCATATCTCCATATCCTGGAGGAGCTTGATTCAGCTAGAACTACCACCATTGACTGATGCTCCTAGTTAAAATAGTTAAGGAAGTTTTCAATAACAAGAAATTATTTTGTAATTATAGCCTAAAGTTGATTGTCAATCATTAGAAAGCTGTCAATGTTTAGAGCTTGGGGGAGGGTGATCTCCACCCTCTACCCTTAGGCTGTTCCCTCCTTTTTCAGTTCTTTGAATACATTGTCGTTTATCCAAAGAAAAAAAAAACGAATCAAAAGGAATTTTTCAATCAACTAATCTAGTCCAAACTGATTCCCAAAATCAACACAATACTAAGAGAGTTTTAGGCAGTCAACCTAAGTTAACTGTTATCTCAACCTTAGAAATGACACTCCAACCCCAGAAGTCTGCTCCACATTTTTCCATCACAAACATCATAAGTTCCCAGACTCTCTGGGAAAAGGAGATCAACTAATTAACACAGATATCAAACTGTAATCTCCTCAAGTATGCCACGTGAAGAAATTTTGCAATAACAAACAACTTATATCTTTCTTTTGTGACTTGGGACCTCTCTCTTAAGCCTTTAAATACACAAGACTCGTTGCTGCATCGTTTACCCCATATGTCCATCTGCCCCATTGGTGTGTTCTGTGCAAAAGGGATGTGGAATCTCAAGATCGTATCTTCGACACTAGCTCCTTTATCTCCAATTTCTGGGATGAGATCATCTCATCATTCAAATAGTCGTTGGTCTTACCTCTTGTGACTCCTCTCCAATACACTTGCAGACCACCCCTTCAAGAAGGAAAAGGAACTACTTTGGATGAACATCATTAGAGCTTTCATTTGGACAATTTGGAATAAAAGGAACCAAAGCCTCTTGGTTGGAAAAGAGCAATCTTCTAATAGGCTGCTAGATAATATTATTGGAATAATATTATCACCTCTATTTCATTCCTATAGTTTTGTTTCATTACTGAACAATCGTAGAAGTTTCATGTAACTCCTTAGCTTTTGGGGCTCTCTCCCCTCTTTTGTAAATTCCATAGATCAATGAAATTATCTCTAATAAAAATAAAAAACAAACAAACAAACAACTGACCCTTTGTCGGAAATTAAAAGTACCTGGAAACAAGATTGGGTATGAAATCCGCAAGCCGCTCGTAATCAGTAAGAGCATTCCAAACCGATTCAATGGCGGCATTAACAAGTATATCGGCCCGAATCCGCCGCTCCCTCCACGAAATAACCTTCACTTCACAATGAACAGCTCTCTCTCCATCTCCCACTCCCTCTCCGCCATCTTCCCAGCCACCGCTCCTGCTCTTCAAATTACAATTCTTCGCAAAATACTCGCTCGAGTCCCAGTCGAAGCCCTCGGCGGCGGAAAGGGAGACGCACTTGCTGCGCAATGGAAGAGAGGAGGACGTCTGGCAATACTCCGCTTGTCTGGCATAGACGCCGGACGTGAGCGGCGACGGCAATGGCAATGGCAATGGCAACGGCGATGGCGTCCCCAAGTTGAACCTCAAAGCTCTGCAGACGATCATGATTGTGATGAATTCTGTGTTTCTGTAGGCATCAATCAAAACTGAATTTGGTTAATGGCAGAGTGAAGTGAAGTGAGGAGTGAGAATGGCGGTGACAGTGAGAGAGAGATTACGACCACTAGTTTTGATTCCGTTTGGTAGCAGAATATGAACAGGCTGTAACGGCCTCTTTCAAAGTAGGGGTATTTTCGTCATTTAGATAAATTTGTGGCTTCGGATTGTCGTCATTTTTTCTGTAATGATATTTTTGTTTTGGCCAAATTACACATTTCACCTCCAAATATGTGATTTTTAAACAAATTTCTTAAATATCAAAATAAAAGTAAAAATATCTTTTTTCAAACATAGGAATCGGTATTTGGTGAATTAAGGCCGATTTTCTTTTATCTATATCTTTACTTTATATGCTACATAATTTTATCTAATGCCACAAGTAAAGAAAAAAAAAGTATCCTATCAGGCGGTGGAGTGGCGGAGTCGTCGAAGCTACTCGATGCTACCATAGCCAGTCACGACATCGTGGTCTACAATGTCGTATTGCTACGGAGAGGAGTTGTGGGTTCGTGTATATTTTAGATCTTGCTAGAGGAGGTAACAATATTGTGGATTTTATAGCTAAAGATGTGACTACACGCTGCAAAGGAAGATCCACACCATTGGAGACGTTGCCATTGTGGGTCGGCTGGTCGGAGAGGGGAAGAGGAAGATTGCAATAAGTTACACGATCAAAATGCTAAGAATCTCATTGATACAACAACACATGTAATATATAAATGGTTCAAAGTGTATAGAATAAATCCTAAGAGTAATGAAACCTATATTGACTGATATATCTAAGTGAAGTTTGCAACATATCCGACCTACTCATCTCGTACCTCGTCGATTTCGACTTGTGTCAATGACTTTTTTTAAATTGAACCACATGGAAATAAATAATAAATAATTTAAGTATTTTTAATGTAGAAAGTATAATAAATGGTAAAGTTTTTTTTAGTGTATGCATGAGACTTACAAGATTAGTCGTTACGTTTTGAGATCTATTTGGTCCCCTACACATAGTGTTCTTCGTCTTCCCATTTACACGTTTTTCATATTCCCATTCAAAGCACCTATGTAGATCAATAATGAAATTTATCACCAAAAAAAAATATATATATGATACTTTGCACCGAGAAATTAAGCAGTTTGAGGCGATGACAATTGTTGAAAGACTAAGAAATTTCGCAAATTTAAAGAAGCATCATTCTTATATTGAAACAGATTCTATGGGTGGTCGCATGTTTGTTAAAGCGTACATAGTAGCTCTAGTGTTATAGAAAATTGGTGGACTATAAAAAGTTCATTCCTTTATACACACTCATATGGAGATATCTCAACTCAAAAGATTGGGAGAGAAGAAAACAAAACCGCACATATCCTCACAAGGAGAGTAACGACGTTGGAGGAATCTATAGTGCCTCGAACATAGAGTTTTCATGTTGGCTCTGTAGTCTTATTATATAGTCTACCTTGCATTATCATTTCTAAGTTCACTACAATAAACTGAGTGTTATTCATGTAACTTATTTAATTAGCTTTCAGTTTGTATTTAACAATAAAAGATGAGTTGAAAAAACTCAACATCGGTACAATTTATTAAAAATTTGATGCTCAGCATTAATAAGTTAGAAAGAATTTTGCAATACTTATCTTGACATTTGGATGAACAAATAAAAGATGTTGCACAACACTATGACAAATAGATCAAACTTACAAGGTGATTTCTCTAACTTGCTTTCCTTTTTTTTTTTATATATTACATTAACTATTATTATTGTTTTTCATGCATTATACTTTGATATCTTCTATTTTTTTAGCTAAATTCGACCTAACATAATTCTTTTACTATATGTAACCCCCGAATAGAGATGAAGGGTACATAGATGAAGCAGAATGATGATGTCAATTTGAGTTATGATAAAACAATGTAGTCGAGTGAAGAAGCACTCCAACTTGTTGAGATAAGTCATAATTGTCATATGGTGCACATGAGGAAGCCCTGAAAATCATGTACCAAAGTACTATTTTTAAACTGGAACTAGAATAGGGAAAATATTTCAAGTACGTATTTATGGCCTTAAGTCCATCGATTAGAACTTTCTAATTGCATCTGATCAATGTTGGTATCTACTTCTGGTGTTGATGCGGATAACCAAATTTATCTAGTTGTCTTTGAAATTGTCTGCGGCGAGTTCATGAATCCTGGAAATGGTTTATGACTCAAATAAAACGTGCTCTTGGAGTAGTCAATAACCTGGTCTTCGTATCTAATTGACATCCCACCATTGGTAAGGCAATTGAGGTAGTCTTTCTAACTACATTTCATTGCTTTGGTATCCATCACATTAAAATGAACATGATGGTAAAATTCAAGAGCAAAGCGATCGGAAAACTATTCTTAAAGGCTGCAAGGACATTTCGTGAATTCATTTTTTAGTCGAATTGGGGCCAACTCGATGCATACCTAGGTGTGAAAGAATATTTGAAGAATATTGGAATAGAATAATGTGTGCATTGTTTCCAATGTGAATTGAGATACACTCAAATGACCACTAATATAGATGAGTGCATGAATTTAATATTCAGGCATGCGCGCAAGTTTTCAGTCACAACTTTACTGGAGCATATTAGATGTTTGCTACAAAGGTGGTTATATAAACGGTGGACAATTGCATCTTTCCAAACAACCACTTTGTCTGACTATACAGAGAACATCATTGTCGAAAATTTGACTATAGCTACAAAGCACGTCGTACACAACATTAACCAATTTAATTTTGAAGTACACAATTGCCACCTTAATGAGTTTATGGATTTACATGTGAGGTCATGTAGTTGTCAAGTTCGAATATTTTAAAATTCCATGCTCCCACGCTATTTCTACCGCAATCGTACGCAACATAAATCCCTACACACTGTGCGAGTACATGTACACGGTAAATGACCGGATGCTTGTTTATGAAGAACTAATATTTCCTGTTGAATACGTCTCAACATGGAAGTGGTTGTAAGGGTTTAACGTTCAAATGGAGCCTCCAAAGAGGATTTCAAAAGTTGATAGGAGATAGACAATGAGGATTCTATCGACATGAAAGGTGTGTCTAACGCATAAGTGCAGTCGATGTGAAACTTCTGGCCATAATTGCAAAATATGCCATGAACCTCTTTACGCGTAAATGCGTTGTATTATTTACTTTGAATTTTAAGTTCATGTATGTATCATTTAGAAGAATTTTATGTAAAGTTAATGGACTTTATGTTCCTTAACTATGTGTGATTCTCGTGTTGGATTTCACTTGCTTATAAAACGGACGAGGGCTTTTATTTATCATTAATCTGAATTATGTGTACAATTTTGGTTTGCGATAGATTGAATCTCGAACCAAGACTATTTACAAAACGTGATCACCCTAATCTGCTTAAAATCCCTATTCGGGTTGCGATAGATTGAATCCTAGGTCAAAATTTTTTGTGTTACTTTTTTTTAATTATACATGTTGTTTTTACTACAAAAGGTCTAATGAAATTAATACTACGTGATGCTTTATTATAAAAAAAAGGGTCTACGGGCCAATATTTATACGGTGAACTATCGTCTAAAGAGTACAATCTTGTCTTAGATCAACGTGTCCATATTGGACCCAGTTACATCATATTAAAAAAAAACTTTGCACAAAACAAACCGCAGTTGGTTCTACTATTCTCTTAGGGTATATATACACAACATACTTTCCATGGAACGACTAGAAGGCTAGGCCTGACGAAGTATATGCTGCAACGGTGAATAATTGTTGTAAGGACCGTGCACATGGGTTCCAACTCTTTCTACAGTGACTCCAAAGAGTTCCACGACTATAATGAATCACATACGTTGACTTCACCCTTGCGGAGGTCGATGCCGATCAACACCTAGCAATTCCAGCCTATGTTTATTGGAACATAAACGATATCTACTTCGATCCAGAGCGTGTTGTAGTCTGATTGTTTATCGAGCACATATCGGAGGAGGTTGTTGGAGGCACTATAGTCGTATACTACTTTTGACAATGGTACTCCAATCTGCATGGTAGCATATAACCATCCATTCGCCAAAGCAAATCCTACACTTAAAGATTCATGTAAGGCTTATCATTATTTATGTGTTGTCTACTAAATGGTATGGAGTACTTATCGTAAGTATACATCACTTATCTCAAACTTCAAGCAATAAAGATGAACACACTTCTCTGGCTTTTCACCATGAACAATATGAGCGCGTCAACTCTCCGTTCCAATTCACATAAACATGTTTACATCGATATAACTTTAATCGAAAATTAAGAGAATACATGGTTCAAAATATTTACTTCGTCCTCCAACTAGACAGTCGGGTCTAATAAGCTACAAAACCAATCCTTGCTTCGATAAGTGTACACAATCGAACAAGCATGACCCTTTGTCTTGGGTCATCCATCCACTCTGGAACTATCGGTCAACTTGGGTGGAATTTGGCATGTTGGGTCGTACTTCTGCACCTTCTTAATTCATTTGTCCATTTGCATGTATATGCCCCGAATCTTCCATGGATAAAACCGCTTCTATAAACCCCGACCAATTGGTTGTGTCGCATTTTCAAGCTCAACCTATAAAATATTACGTACTATTCATGAACGCATTACGAGCTCAAAGTATAGTACTTTGGCTAAATGTATTTTATGATGGTTACCTTAATAGAAACCCTTTTTGCTTTTTGAGCATGTCTAACGCATGTGTGACTGGCCTCACACGACTGTGGTCCTTCTGCATAAAGTACTGTCACATCAATCTACTCCTAGATGGATAAGTCCTGCAACTTAATATGAGCATCAGAATGTCATATTAATAAATAAGGTATGTGTAAGTTACCACAGCAAAAGTGCGATCACCTCAATGACTGGATCCTTTGTGCAGTGATCGCCAGAATTATCTCCTATTGTCTCATATGAATGAATTTGGATGGTAAGGTCCTAAAACTAATACGAGCATCAAAGTATTGTAAAATAAAGTACATATAAGCTACCATGGAAAAGTGCGATTACCTCATCT